CCTGTTGTTTCGCCGGGTATAACGCATCGCCGTTTTCCGTCCGATTTATTGGCTAATCCGATATTTATTGGACGCTCGGCCAATTTCCAATTTACGCGGTGGTTAACTGCCACGGCCAGCGTCGGCACGTTAACTGCCAACGCGCCCAACTGCACCCACGAACAGGCTTAGCGTTATATCCGGTTTAATTGGATCGGGATTAAATTAACTTCCGGCAGTGATGGAACTTTAACGCAGAGATTCCTCGACCAACGTCGCCCGTTTTGCTCCCTTGTCGCGTTCGTCCATCGATTCCAAACCCCCTCCGGAGGAGAGTGTTGCCCGACTTTGATACCCGATTCATCGCTGCCGCCATAATTTTATCCGCCATTGTGCCTCCGCTGGCATTGTTCTCTCCTCGTTGTCGTCGGGCCCCTTTGTCCCCGACGCAGATTTATCCGTCGAAAAGTAGTTAATTACCGAGGCGCGCCGCATAATGTATCGATGATTTCGGCGGACGCGATTCAAAGCGGGCAATTAGGGTTTTAGGGGGAGGATTCGGGGTAATCGAGATGTCCTTTTTTCTGTTTGTAGAAATAGAGGGAGCTATTTGGTATTTATTCATTTTTGAAAGCGTTGAAGGGCGAATGCGTTGTCTATGTTTTTTTTTTTTTTCAAGTAGAAAGGTTGGTCATTTGTGTATCCGAAGTAACATAGAAATTGTGTTTACACAACCAGTGAATCCTTCGCGAGGTGGATGAACTCTCCACCACAAAAAAAGACCACTTTACACCATTCTTGAGAAGCCTCCGTCCTCGAGTCCTACCCCTAACAGTAATTCACAATTGTTTAACCTCGGTAACTGCATCGAGTGGATAGCCACAAACGTTTACGTTACCACACCAAGCTCAGCCACCGTAAAACAGGGAAATTGTTTTAAAACACTCGCAAACATCACCAGCGTTTCACCGCGGTTCAGAATTCATTTTACAGCCAGCAAACAATCCAATGCTGCTTTCAGACTGTTCCCTCGACGTATCGAATATTAAACCGCTTTCGACGATTAACCGGAAACTATTCTCATCCCAGGCATCGCTCCGAGTGACGTTAATTACGGGCTGCAATCTTTATTCGATCGGTGGCCACGCGCAGTCATTCGCGAACCGTTCGACAGAATTACTGGCTGAAATTACAATTAGCGTCGTAATTTAATAATTCACGGCGGCGAACAATGAACAAAATCGCCGACAGGTGACGCGCCATTATTCCATCGAAAAGGCTGGGCCCCGGGAAATGAAAAATTAACGGGTGCAATATCGGATCGACTATTATCTACCAGTCGAAATTATTTCCCGACGCGGACAGCCATTCGGGATAAGACAACAATTTTCTGAGATGGGAGCTCGAACCTGTAAAAGGATCTCGAATGTGTCGTAGGAACGTAAAAGCACTTCGTAGTTCAAAAATAACCGGGAAGTGTAGTAAGAGGGTGGATGAGTCCAAGCATGGTTTGCAAGAGTTGCAAGAGTTCCACAGTTTTTAGCACAACTTAATATTGTTCGTTATAACTGGAGCTCTCCTGCTCTTAGACCTAAAATGTCAATCACCACCTGAATCTCTCTTATTTTATTTTTTTATTAATCAAACCTGAAGCACCAGTATCCGGATACAAGTCCTACATCATGCCTGTTCGTTAGGAACCCTGTTTCTCCGTCGAAATTCATCGAACCCTCAACAACCAAGCTCCCGCGCCATTATTGTCTCAACACCCAAACATCTTACAACATCTCGCCTTATGCTTGGCCCCGGTTGCACCATGAAGACGCACGATCCCGGGTAATCCGCTAAGGGAAACCCTTTTGTCCGCGTTAAGACGACGCGTGTACTCTGTCGAACACGCCGAAGGAAGCCCTTTGTCGTCTGCAGCAGAAATTACCTCGAATTAATGCCGCCGGCTCTTCCGAACATCCTCCCTCGACGTTTTCCCGTCTGTCTGCTTCCTCGTTGAGCTTCCACGACACTCGCGGTAGTTTTCGAGGCATTGTGCGGGCATTGTCTGCCGCTGGCTTCCGTCGACGGGTCGCGTTATATTTTCCAAAGGGTGGGTATCGTGGTTCGAGGGACCGCCGTGGCCGACGCAACGAAATATGGGGGAATGGTTTTGACGTCCAAGTGCACGGGGCGGGGAGCTGAGATTGGCTGATGGAATTCACGATAGCAGGGAACAATTTTAAGAAAGGAAGCCTCCCTTTGCGAGGTAGGGAACGTCAATCGTTTTGTAAATTAACCCTCTGTCAGGCAGAAGAAGTCTTAGAGTTGTGGCTGGAACTATGATTTATACAAAAAATACGATATGGGGAATTGTAGGGTCCAAGACCAAAGAGTACTAGTTTTACCCTACTTATTTTACTCTACTCTTCCTTAGAATTTCCTCTGAATCAAAGAGTGAAAATGTAATTAAAAGCTTGACTCTAAATAAATCCAGCTTTCTGACCCCAGCAAGTAAATAAGCAATCGATGGGCGACGGGGGAAATTTCAACTTTAATTGTCATTAGTGGCGTTCGTTGAACGACGACCGGGGAGAGGGTCGTGCGGCAGTCGCACGAGAACAGTCTTTATAGTTTTAATAGAACCCCCGACTGAATGCGGTTCGTTATCTCCGTAATTGCGAGCCAGCGTTGACCCAAAACTTTGAACGGTCATTCGCGTTCGCGCTCCACGATTCTTACTTTTCTCCGGCGTACACAATGCTCGCGTGGCCCTGGAAAAGTAGTCCACGATCGAACGGGGCCCCGAAACAAAACGTTTAGAACGGATGATGGCTGAAATCGCGAAAAATAAGGAGAATCCATCTTCAGAACACCGGATACAAGTTCAAATTCCTCTGTAGCACCTTCATCTTTATTTTATTACAAAACACTAACGATCCATAGGAAGTCGTGGTTCGATTAGGCGAAGGAGTTCGTTCGCTCCACGTTGATTCGATAACTCTTCCCTTTTTGTATGCACGCTTCTCGATCCGCCTCGAATCAACCCTGCTTCCCTTTGTTTTTGTCCGAGGCCAGTTCCATCTTGTCCTCCGCTCGGAGACGCGTTTTCTGGCGTTTAATTATTTCCACCCCGCTCCCCTCTCGGCACGTCCTGCGGCTTTTTGCGCGGAGTGGCGCGACGCTGGCCCCTTCGACGACAAAGTGCACCCAGGGAAGACAATACTGGCGCGATTCGAACTTCGTGTGCTTTGCTATACTCGGCATGGTGGCCCTCTTCTTGCGCTAAATCCTAACCCCCTCGTCAGGGACGTCTTTGTCTTCGATTTCGCTGTTCAGGTTACATCCGAGGGTTGCATTGACTCTCTTCCTCCAGGGAGGTGGCGAACTCTCGAAAAGGGTTCATATTTTATTTCGGATTGCAGTGACATGGATTTCGTTGGGGTTGAGGGGTTAAAACAGTATTCTCTCTGAGGGCTTTGATTATTTACTCCTTGGAAAATTAGGGCTGGAGGAATATATTTTTTTTTTTTTATTTTGAAGCATCATTGTAAAGTAAAGGAGAGAAGGTTGCATGCCTAAGGGATCGTCTACCATATCTATTTAATTATAAAATACATCGTTACTCATTTAATACTCGATGTAACTAAAGCATTCATATCTCTGAGTTTTATCGTCAGGTATTCACATTTTTGAAGTAGAATCCAGTGCGATCCAGTTAACGTAAAAAAGAATTTGAAGTCATAGAATAAGACGCATTTAGACCTCGCAATGGAGGTACCAAGAGGGAGTAAATCTTTGAAAAGTCACGGTGAAACGTGTCAAATAAAGCGAACTGGTAAAGATCCCTGGGAGTCGTTTCCCAGAACGACCTCCTGAATCGTTCCCTCGAAGTTGTAAATTCGATTCGCCTCACCCTCCGAGGGTGAATCTTACAGAGTCGGTGGCTTTGCCTCCGTCGCGACTAATTTCGATGAGACGATCGAATCCACCCCTCGGGGGCGTTTCTTGGGAAATATAAAACACGATGCAACGTAAGAATAATTATTATGACACTGTAGAAAAGTATGATTACTTAATAGCTACAAAATTCGATATAAATACGTCCCCTCTGTTTATCAAAATCTTGACCTTACAGCGTCGGTTTGAAAAATAAATTAATCGCCAGTCTCGGTTTGCCTCGGTTACGATCGACTCATCCTCGATCGCGTAGTCGCTGCGTGGGGTTAGAATCGAAAGCAGATGAGCGCAATCGGTACCGCGGTAGCCTTTCTCTTACTCGCGGCGTGATCACCGACGTGACCGGATCGTCCCGCGATAGTACGACGCGAACAAAACCGTAAAGGTGAGAAACGAGTTCGGAGCAACGCATGCCAGGGGCCACTCGTGCTATTATCGTCCATTCACTCCGCCTAACGAATTCGTTTCTCGATAAGAGCTCGACGCAAACGTGACTCGCAGAATATTAACAAGCAGCGCCGTTCTGGACTGTTCCTCAACTTCGAGGCCGCAACTCGCAGGTTCCTGATCTCGAGAGAGGAAAGGTTAGAATAGGATTAATTTATAGGGTTATTAATTAAAGCACCTCGGTCGTTAATGACCACTCGGTCAACGACTAGCCAACGGTCAATGGGACGACGAGTGGAGCGCGCTCGAAGGCGCCAAACCATTTGTCTTCCGCTTTCGAGGGGGATATTTCACTCCCGCGTTTCCGATATTTCCAATAAAGAGCGAAGAAAGCCTCGTCCAGGGTGAAAAACAACAAATCGACGATCGCGCGACCGAAGGTCTCGCTGTTTGGCTCGGGAGCGCTCTATTTAAAGGGAGAAGGCTGACGTCTGAGGAAAATAAATTTTCACGGACGTTTATTCGCCGGTGAACACGGCCGCGGGAAACGGTATTTCCGTCGCGCGAGAACGAGGAGGAAGCATGATATACCGGCGTCGTATTGAAACGACAACGCCAGGCCTCGGAACACAAGCCGAGCAGTTCGAGGGACCCACTAAAGCGGCTTTTCTCTTCTTTTGTTTCAGGAATTGGAGAGGAGTTACACCCTCTCGACCCCTGGGGGTAGCAGCCCTGTCTGTTGTCCGCCCTGCAGCCCGCCACCCGCGCCTGCTGCATACATATCGAGCGCACGTGCGTCCTCGCGGAGACTCGGCGCCGGAAGTAGCATCGGAGGACCGCCGTCCCCGGAAAGGGATCCCTTGGGAAGACTGTTAAGGTCAGTTCGATCATCGTCCTTTTAAAACGGTGTCGTTCGTCTACGGAGTGTACAATCTGTGGCCTTTCGAGACGTTCTAGGCGATCTTATTGTATATTCTATCTGGTAGGGTCGCTTAGTTTGCGAGCGATAGCAAAGTATGACGTTTGCGAACGTATGATAAGAGTAGCGAGGAATCTTTTACAGAATCGATTCTCTGTCTAGGAAGGGATCGAAAAATTCACTATCACGTTCGCTCCAAGTCGTTATACACAGTTCGATAAGCAAGCCTCTTATGTCAAAATGGAGGACCTTCCTATTCGTATTTGCACGAGAAATTGATCCTGCCGGTTTAGTATTCTTTTAAATAGAAACCTAGCTGCAATTATTGTTATACTACTTGCTATTGAATACATAGAAAACTGTTAGCAATTCTATCATTTTTATGAATATACAAACTAAGTCTACACGAGTATATGGACATCCGTCTTCGATACTATTCTTCATCGTTACGAACAAAATTTATGTCCTCTCCAAGAGTTCCTGTATTTGTTCCATCCAATTGGCCCGGTCAGTAAAGATAAACAAGTCCCCGTAATCACGAGGAAATGCGCGTATCCGCGTCCTGAGCAGACGCAGGTCATAAAACCAGTACGCCTGGTCCTTCGGAGGCAATCGTCCGGAAGCCGTAAAGCTCTCAGCACTACCCATCCACGTCCGATCCTTTCCACGCTTGATCACCTTCCTACGGGTTCCCCGGCTCGAAGATCATCAATCTTGGCGCGGCACCGCGTGTACAACGAATGCATCATTCACCGTGAAACTGCCACTTAGAGCGGCTACGGTTTCGTCGCTTGGGAAATTAACCAGTCACTCGATAAGCGAGCCACTTCAGGGAGGAACGTGGCCGCGTATAACTCGGATTAATTGGAATTTTACCGACGCGTTGTAAAAAAGTTGAACGTGGCAGGCTTTTAAAAGCGTTCGAGAGCGGTAGGCGAGTAGGCGTCGGGCGTCGTCGGGCCGATTAACTCGCGATTTAGTAATTCGCTGGAAAATGGATCCTGCAGGATTTATCGTCGAGGGAAACTCCAAGGCAGGGAACGTCGGATGGGTTAAAAATTTTATTAAACGAGAGAACCGTGCAGGAAAAGATTCAACGATGAGGTTCCTTCCGGGAATACGTAGATAACTGAGTGCTGCTCGACGTTGAGATGAATGCAATTCCCTTTGTCTGAACGTATATATCTAGTTCGGTTCCCTTTCTGGTCGAATCTCGACGCGAGGCCGTCGAGATTCGTTCTTTACGGCCTCTGTCAGATGTCTGCTATTGTTAACCCAGTTTTTCAACAGCTGTGAGTGTTAGCTACTATATCTACTTTCTGTTAGTCTATTTATTAATTAGTTTGAATTGTGTACATTTGGACAGAGCTTTGCTATGAACTGAAGTTTTTTTATTGATAAGATATTCGATTTTAAGGGAATTTTTATTATAACAGTACTCGGTTAACCACTCCCAAGACAGACCAAACCTAGACAAATTAAAATAATTAGACTCCTCCTAAAATGAAAACTTCATCCATCGTCCAATAATTTCCTGAAAATCTCTCCCGATTCCTATCTCACGACGAGTACCACGTTCGCAATGTACTTGTCAGGTAAACATTCCGAAGGAACACGTTGCAATCGCTCGCATAATTGAGAAAATTCGCGAAGGAATTCCGTGCGGCCGACGTCGCCTCGGTTAAACTCGGAACTACTTGCTGCTTTCAGATTCCTGAAGACCTTCTACAGGGAGCTCGGCACTCGCGATCCACCCCATTTGCCGGCGTGGGCGTCGCCGCTTCCACTCGGCACCCTTTGTCCAGCGCACTTCCAGCCGCACCTGCAGCTGCTCCACAAAGGCGAGCAGGAACACAGACTCGAGAACATCAAGCTCGACCAGATCTTCGCCCCTGTCAGGGTGAGTGTCATAAATCATCCCTTGGAAACTACTTCGTCTCCTCGCGGCGTGGCGCACCAGCCGTTGACGCTCGCTCGTAAAACTTCCTTGCTGCGACTAGTTTGCGCGGCTGTCGCTGCAACGGACATTCCGGAAAACGAACCGTTGGGAGGGATGGAGGAGAGGGGCGTGTGTGGAACCACCGAGAGAAAATTTCTGATAAGAATCCACCCCTGGTTCTTGGGGGGAAGGCGAACCTCGGCGACGGAATTCGCCACCCATAACGCGCGCGAAACTTGAGTTCTCAACTCCTGAGCCCCTGCTCTTCCTTTTCTCCTCGTTGAAAGTTTCTTTTCGCCACGGGGAATTTTTATCTGGGTGACAATCTGGATTACGGAGTTTTGGTTTAGTTGTGCCCGGGGAAAGGTAGATTTTAATAGCGGGATGACGTCCGGTGAGAAGTAGACGACACAGATTTGACTCTGCGGGCGAATGGATTTTTATTCAGGGTCTGTTATTATATTTAATCCTCTATGAACCCGTGTAACTTTCTGGTCACGTGCTAATACGTCGAGATTTTATCGAATAAGTTTAGTTTTTCCACAAGATGACGTGCACAGTCAGTCCCATGAGTACATATTCGTTCCCTCTGTTTATCGAAGAAATTTGTCCAAATTGAACGATAGGTTTGATATTTTCATATCAATTTTGCATTATAAATATATACATGCTTGAAATATTAAGCTTACCATTTAATTTAGACAAATGTGTACAACAGAGATAGAGGATGCCGATATTTATGGGATTGCATTACGATTGAGAGCACCATCAAACTATAATATCAAAGTAAACGCCTTGCAAGTTGTCTGTAGAAACTCGGCATGGTTAGACCGAAACTAGAAGAAAATAGTAAGACGCGAACACTCGTCGTGTAATCTAGAGAGCTAAGAGGATTAAAGATAGCGCAAGACCAACCACTCAACTGTCACAAAGTTTCCAGTTTCCAATCAACTCACTCGCAAATTCAAAAGTAAAAACAGCTTCTATGCAGCGAGGAAATTCGTGCTCGCGATACAAACTCGGTGCCAGCGTGTCGCAGATGCACCAAGACTGAATACTCCGAACTTCCTCTAAAGGATTTCATTTAGCATAGACAAGTACTTGGCGTCAGAGTCGATTTAGAATTCAGAAATATAATTAGACAGTTGAGAATTATAATTATTGAGAATCTTGAAAACTTGGTAGAAGTACTGGATTTGCCATTTGCAACTCTGTAAATTCAATCTTTCGTTATTGTTGATTGAGACCTAATGCACGAATGCTCAAATAACGTTTTCCGTTTGAAGAGGTAAAATGGAGTTAATGTAACGCAGGATGTAAACTAGCTGACCTGTGCTTCGTGTTTCGTGTTTATTTAGCCAGTCATCCACGCGGAAGTCCCGTTTTTAAAAATATTATCAGAAACAGCTTTCAACCACTCGACGCTCTGACTCGCGTGTACTCTGGTAGGTACATGCATATTGCATTTCCTTTGGCGAGCATCTGAAAGCTAACAAATAAAACAATGCTGAAAACTGGAAAACTAAACGAACATTTTCGCCATCGTGTTAAGTATCTTTGATCTTTCACCCCAAAGAAAACGATTATTTAACCGTAAACAAAACCGAACCGCCACAAATTGTTTTGACTTTTTTATGAATTTATAAAAAATCCTAGCGGTCGAAAAATATCGAACTCCGTGTATTTCGTTTTCCAATTAATTCCAGATAAGTGAAAAATTTATTGCGCCCCGGTGACACGAATCATTTTTTCAATTTCGAGAGTCGATCGAGTTACGTAAAATCACGAGGGAAACTTGTCCACTTTTTGAAACGCAAAACTAGTTTCATCGTTTTGTCTAATTGGGGACTCTAGTTTTAATTGACCCTGGAACACGAACCGTAGAATTAAAAAATTCTTGTACAACGTTTTATCGAGAGAACTTTAGAGTTTTATTGGAAAAATTTCCGCGGAACATAAACTGAGCGACTTGATTCGCTCGGTACAATGAAAGACCATTCGACGGTGGAATAAAAACGCACGCTCGAATTAAGCCCCTTCGCGCAGCATCCCCGCGGGAGCGATCAAAGTTGGACGAAGACGAGAGTGAAAGAATTAAAGGCAGCCCAGGGGCAAGAAGCGATCAAAAGCCGCGGAAGAATCGCGGAGAGAAAAGGGCGACGACAGTCGCTGGAACCGAGCCATAAACGAAACGCATTACCTTAATGGCGGAGCTTCGAGGCAGGAGACGAGAGGATGAACGAAAGTTGGCCACGGGAGAACCGACAGTTCCCCTCCCGAAAAAGGAAGAAAGCAGACGGAAACGAAATTGGCCAACGTCGCGAGCAATATTTTATCGGCTTCCTCGATGCCGTCCGATCGCGGTAAATTCGCCACAAGTCCTTGTTTTGAGTCCAGATTTTGGAGCGATCCGCGCAATCTGCTCGGATTGCGTCGAAGAAAGAGCAGAGGAAGAGGATATACTGCAGTCTGGGATTCTCCAGCCACCATGCATCAACTCGAACTCACTGTTTCGAGTGTTGATGTTTGTTGCGCACTAAAGATGAATTCTCCCAGAGCGAAGTCGACTAATCACGTGGAGGACGCGTTCTATGCGCTTCGCTTGTCGATACAGGGAATTCTTTAGCAATTGTACAAAGAGGTTTTCGACCATTGACCTCCTAAACGGAATTCGAGAGTCCGGCATCTGGTGGAAAATTCTCTTTCACGTGTTTGAAAAACGCGACTCGAATTCATGAAATGCATAGAGTTTCAGATTTGAATTTTACCAAGCTCGTAAAATTAATTTATGTAAATTGAGTCGTAACTTATGAAACCTCATAAATACACTTCCATTAATATTACAAGGAGCGCGATGAAATTACAATCGAATTCGTACAAATTTAATTAAATGTCGTGGAATTAAAATAAATTGAATTAAACTATACGATTTCAACAGCATCTAATTAAGCCTCGAAAATTTAATTCAACGATACGAAAATTACAAGGAATTTAATTAAGCATCACAAATGAAATTAATAGAAATTAAACCTAGTTATAAAATGCGCATAATTAAATCACGATATTTGAAAGGAATCAATCTGATGCTCAACTCTAACACGAACGATAGACATCCATGGACATCCAGAAATCAGATAACCTCTCAGCCAGAATGAACCAACCCTCCTATCGGAAGACAAACATCCCTGACCTGAATTCCTCGACCGCAATTAAGAAAACCGCCGCAGGGGGAACGAGGAACGAAATTTAAAAAATTTACTTGGAACGAGAAATGTCGAGAGTCTCGAACAACAAGGGAAGCATTTCGCAGCCGAAGACGATGGGTCCTCAGCCCTTTTTCGACGTCCTCGATAGCATCTTCGGCCGAGAGTATCGCCGCGGGTGCATAACTCTTTCGGTCCTCGAATAAAGAAGGTTTTAATCGCGGCAGAGACGATCGGGAACGTTCTCCTCTCCGAGGTTCGCGTAACGAGGCATTGTTCTGTCGTGGCGCGATAAGATGGCCGACTTCGCTTCGTTAACGTTTCTCGAAAGGGTTTTTAACCGATGGAAAACGCGACGACGCTGATAACTCGTGGAGAAACGCGCGACTGCCCCTTGTGTACAGGGGTACACTCAGAAATCGAGCTCTGGCACGACGTGCTCGTTTAATTGCTTAGGCACGTCGATCTTCTGTGCTCCTCCTCGATCGTACATTTCAATGTCCTCTTGACGAGGAGAACGTGGAATTTATTGAACTGGATGGAACCTCCCTAATGGGTTGATGCTCATCGTGGTCGCAAATGGTACTTGCACTCTTGCAGTGATCAGATCAGTACGGTAGATAATATACCGGATTGTTGGGAATATTATTATAGAGTATGTTGCATTAGAAATGTACGATATCAAGGCTGGCATGATAGAACAGATTATAATAATTTCAATCTTCACGAGCACTATTCAGACTATTCTAATATAAACAATAGCTTCCTCTGCTTCAATTAGAATATTCAGATGTTCCTATAAGCAACTCATTCTGTAGAAGCTTTCATTCTCAATCTCTCTCCCCTAATGCCAGTATCTATTGCCAACCGCGCAAACCAAAGATTTATCGAAGCCGCGATAAATCCGCTCGCCACAGAATCTCCTTATCCTCCGGGTACACGTACTCCAAACCAAGATCGAAGGATCTAGCGCGCCATCCGTTTCGATTTCTCCCTCTGACGGTCTCGCGACAAGTAACGCGAGCGAAATTTATGAGGCGCCTCGAATGTGGCCTACCTTACATCTTCGTTACATTAAATAATGGAGAGAGGTAGGGGCTCGTAAAAATTTATTTCTGGAATGCATTAGTCTGTCAAATGCTCCTGTAAAAAATGGCGGGGGCTCTTAGTACTGGAACACCCCGGGTGTCTGGAAGGAAATTCCGGAATGAATTATAAGGAGAAAGAGGAGATTAGGGGTTGGAAGAGTAAAGAATAATATAACATCAAGTTTACTTCGTTTACTAATAATTAATTTACGTATTTAGAAGTGTATGCGAGTTCACCCCTTACCTCCTCTTTTCTCAACGGGAGCATCGATGAGTCAAATCCAGAAAACAAAGTTATTTCCTTCGATAGACCAAAGAATTTTTGCATCGTACAAATACAGTGGTTAGGATCTTCCCAAGCGAAGGAATCGATGAATTTTTATAGGAAGTCCCTTTGTCGGGCGCAGGAATGTCCCTCCACCGATCCATCGTGGCGTGCAAAAATGACTTCTCGCTTTTCCTCTGTTATTTCGCTGCAATCCGGCGTCGGGCAGGTCGATAACACGGGCACGTAACGGAGCCACGAAACGCAGACAATGCGGCACGTCGCCCGGAAACGCGCGCGTCGAAAAATGAGCCTCGTAACCGTGCCATCCGGAGGCTGGGACCCGTGGAAGAGGGTGAGACACGAGACGCGTAGGTACGCTAGGATTGGGAGGGTGACGATACG